TTGTGTGACAAACAACACCTGCTGTACAAAACGTGCAAGGTGAAGAAGGGTTCAGCAAAGAGATATAACAGGTGATCCAGTTCAAATTCTTACATAGCCGTGAAATTCATCCAATAAACTTCACTCATCACTTTTTCTCAGTGGCACTTATGTCACAGAATTTATGGAAGGATAAACTGAACCATATATATGCTCTGAGCTTCTTGAAGGAAGCATGCCATGTAGGTTATGCACAACTGTGATGTGATCCAGTGCACATTTTTTAAAAATATGAAACTAACAGTCACTTTAAGCTGATAGCCAAAAATAGTGTAGATACGGAAGACTTCAAATACTGAAACAACAGTAATCCCTCCTTTAAGATTTTTTAAATCACTGCTTAATATTTGTCCTTTTCTTGAAATATTTGAGATTGTTGCTTGTATTTCTTTAAATTGTTTTGTCTGATATTTTTTCATTGATCTGTTGACTTTTTTTCTTAAAAACCATACAGTATTCCAAATGTCTAAACTGCCTTTGAAATGAAAAGGAGCCATTCCTGCTTGCATTTAGTTAAACTTATGTTATGAATATATACAGTCTGTTTCACAATCGCAGCGTATTCTGATTTGGGTCTTCCATTCCTACGTAGTTGGCAAGGTTTCACTTTTCCAAGGTTGTGCCAAACTGGTTCTTACTCTTGTCAATTTATATCCTAATAGATTGTGATACTTTTTGTTTATACTCTCTGGAATTTGTTCCTACTAAAATATATGTGGTTTCAATTCAAAATTTATTTTTAAGATGCAGTGCACACTTGACTATTCATGACAAGCTGATCCTCCTGTGTCTTACCAATAGGTATCTAGCATCCTGTACTGCATTGTGCTGCATGTGAAATATTTAATTAAGCTTACTCACTTTAAGATATACTTCACGGTTTGATCCCTGTATCATTCTTTTACTTACTTGCTTACATATTTTAGGTAATATAAAAGTAAAACATTTCTTTTCTGGAGAAAGTGGATATCATGAGACCTCTAGTGAAAACATTGGGTGTTGCAGGGATTTAGTATTAAAAATGGGAATTGGAATGTACCTGGCGAAGCTTAATCCTTCCTCTTCATCAAAGGCAGGATTCATGAGAATTCATAAAAGATTTAGACAACGTCATAGGAAAATCAGTCTTTATAGGAAGATCACTCTGTTGAAGAAGAATTGTACTGAAATGCAGTGTTCATATTTAGTACTAACTAGCTAATATATTACTACAAATGCAATACTACTATTGCATTTGTAGTATTTCAGCCATCATTCTGTGATTTTGTTCAGTTAACCTTTATTTAATCCCTTTTTGTCAATCTGGTTTTCCAACTTTGTTTCAGAAGTATGCAGCTAGTAGTTTTTAGGAGGTAGTTGGTAATGTAGAAAGGTACTACAGTATATACCCAAGTGAATCTGTCTAGCTTAAATGGCAGTCACACTAAAGGGTTTCAGACAGAAATCTTTTCTTGTCCTGATGTTCACCTTAAACTTATTTGGGAATTCTGATTGCCATAACTTTGTCCCTGAAGGTCCAAGGATCTTTATGGCATGTAGAATTTTTCACTAGTTAAAGCTGGTGCAGTGGCTACAATTGCTCTTAACTGAGACAATGAATTAGCCATACCTAATAAACTCTGGATTACTGTATTGCATGGAACTGTCTCGATAAGTCTCAGAAACCTTGTTTACTAGCATATTTTGCCTAACACTGCTGTGCTTTTTAGCACAATCCAGAGGACTTACAGTTACTTTTTAAAGCCTGTTTCTTGATCCATGCACCAAATGGCTATCTTTCCTAAAGACATGTAGCTATGCACTGAAATTATTATTACAGACAATTTCTTAAGTTAGATAGATTGTGACAGGTTTATGAAAACAACTTTTTAAATTGTGTCTCCCACTTGAATGCTTTCCCAAAGAGATTCACACACCATATAATACTTGCTCTGCACCAAAATGTGTAACATGAAGCTGTTTTCTTTTCTTCAGATCTCTATAAGCCACACTTGAATTTATTCCTTAGATGTTCATGGATTTTTTTAAAAAAAATCCCCTGCTTTTAAAAGCTGTTGTTTGTGTATATATATAGCTCCTGACCTAAAACAGGGTCTGTCTGCTAGGTGTGATTGTCTCACCGAGCAGTCCAGTGCCATAATTAGATGGTATTTTCTTTATAATTAAAAAGAATGTATTTAAATTTTAAAAAGCTTTTTATTTTTATTTATTTTCTTTAAATATTCCAAATTTCATGTGGACTCATGGTTGTGGGAAGCTATAGCACTATCTGTGTTTTTGCACATAGAACTGAGAGATCAGATCATGAATATGTATGGAAATATCACATCTCCGTATTATAGTGACCGCCATTAATACCCAGAACTTATCAAATCTTGAGCTTTTGTTGTCATGCTTAGTCTTTCTTGCTTTTTTCAAGATAATAATATCAAATTAAAACCAAGCTGAGAGGATACTGCAGTAATATTGCATATTCTTTTGGGGTCTAGCCCTATCGTTAGGCAAAATGAGGCTGCATTTGGATATCATAAAAGAGCAGATAGATGTGATCTTTTTTTGGCCAGAAATGCTTGCAGGGTTTTTTTTTTCCCCCTTAGAATTTTCTGCCTTGGCTATCAACATAGTTTCTCTAGGCTGTGTACATCTTAATTTGGTGCTGGTATTGATGACATTTCCTCTCTGCTTTGGGGTAGCAATGTCTCTTAGTCTAACCCTATGGCCTTTAAGTGAAGATCACTTTTAGCTGGATTTGGGACCACTTAGAGTTAAATGGAGTAGAATGATCTCACCAAATATCTACTGCTACATTTTTGATACAGTTCATAAATTTATATTTTACATAACTTCAATATAGGATGCTTTGCTATATTTTCCTAAGTATGTTTCCGCTTCCATCTTATAATTAGTGTATTTCTGTTTGAAGAAGGGTTTTTCTAATTATAGTTTTACTGCCTTTGCTGCCTTGAATTTGCACTTCCTTATATTACAGTATTCCTTTGGCCTTATTGATCTGTCTAAACATTGACAGATAGTTCCAGCTAGCGTAATGCTGAATTATATGGTCTGTTTTGGTTTAATGCAGATATCTGTGTTCCTATGAGTGTCTCAGCTTAAACAACCATGTTTGTGACTCTAGAAATACGTGTGGATATTGTGCTTCCCTTTCCCTTTTGTTGGAAAGAGAAACAGTCTTATAACCAGTACTTTGTAACTTTAGCTAAGCATCTTGTTTGTAAAAGCCTTCAAATGCATTTGGGACATTTGAAATTGTGCATCTGCAGCTTTGTAAAAAAAAATATCAAGAAATGCCAATTTGTGGACTTCCAGGGGCGGTATGACAAACTGAAGATGACCACAGAAAAGACCAAGGAACCAGTGAGTAGATCAATTCCTTGGAACCTCTCCAGATAGGGAGAGGACAGGAGATTGCCCACATGTGTTCTATCTAGATGGCTGCTCCTCACAAGGAGACCACAGGACAGCAGTTTAACACAGGTTTGAGTGCTGGGAGACAAAGGGATTAGCCATCTTGCTTGCAACTGTGGTAGAGCCTTTTACAGGACACTAAGAAATTGCCTATTAACTATCTTAAAGCTATTACAGATCTTTGGAACGACAAGTTTGAAAGGTCATTGGGTGAGTTTTATCTTCAACTCTGAATAAAAGAAAAATTAATTACAAGCTTAAGAACTTAAAGAATTTGAAATTAACAGTGAAAAGCTCAATAAGATTTTGATCTAAGAAAGTTATAAATGGATTAAGAGTCCAGGTAAATTTGAAGTATTGACTTTTACTATAAGGTTTTGGAATTAATTATAAAAAATAGGTTCTCATGGGAAACAGAGTTGTATTGGCTATCCTGGCTATTGTAAGGTATAACAAAGGTAAGTTACTTTATGTTTTTAGAAACTGAACACTAGAGGGAGCTAAAGATTCCAAAAGAAGGGGAAAAAAAATACATGCCTGTTCTTGATGTCAGTTAATACTGGGACTTACAAAATGACACAAAATGTTATATCGGAAGCATTAAAGGAAATCTTTGAAGAATGGAGCCAGAAATTAATAACTACAATATCAACACTGTCAGTAATGATACCTGCTTCTATGGATAGACTATATCCAAAATATGTTAATGAAGGAATGACAGATGTGGAACAAATTTTATCTGACAAGACAAAGTACAGAATGTGGAACTACAGATGACAGGCCAAGAGAATGATTTGGAAAAGGACACTTTCCTGGATGTACAGAAGAAACTGGTTGAAGTTTTAAAAATTAAAAGGGAAATAATGATAAACCGAGAGAATGACCTGGAAAATGTTTTCTTATTGGATCTACAAAACAGGCTTGTTAAAGTCTTGAAGAAATCTGTGCAATGGGATAAAGAATTGAAGAGAAATCAAATCCTATGACAATGTTTGATTGAATTAAAGATTAAGACTGTTAGAAATAAAAGGAAGGAATAGAAAGTTGGTTTATTTGATCAAGGTTAAAATAAGACTTTTTTTGTTTGTTTGCAATGTTCTTGCAACCTTTATGGACTTTTTGCTGACACCAGGATTGAAAAGTTGATGTTTTATGAATTTGCTTATAAATAAGGGATGGGATATGGGGTGAAAGGAGATTTATTTGTAACCTTATAAAGGGTGAAGAGTTACTAAATTTGTTTATATTTGTGATGAAGGTTGGAAGTCATTTCTTTATATATTTCTTTTCTTTTTCTTTATTATGCTCTTTTCTTTTTCTTCTTTCTTTCTTTTTCTCTTTTCCTGCACTTTTTATTTTTTTCTCTTCTTTTTCTCTAAGTTTAGTTTGTATTAGTTTTTACTATTGTAATCAAAATTCTTAATAAAAATTATATTTAAACAAAAAGAAATGTCACTTTTCATGTTTTCCAGAACACTTTTACAGGCATAAATCTTAAAGGTTTGATTTTGTTTTGTTCTAATATTTACTTAAAGGTTCTTCTGGAGCCAGGAGTGATTCAGGATGTGCTTGCTGCAGGAAGCCATCTCCAGCTGCTAGAGATGCTTAGTTTATGTTCACACTATCTTATTCAGGTAAGAATAATAGAATGGATGTTTTTCTTTATTTTTCCAGGCTGAGGTCAAATGTTATAAAGGGATGGTTTTCAAAGTACTTATAGACCAGTGTGGTAATTACCAGGATTTGTCAAAAACAAGCCTTGCCAGACTAACTTTCTTTAATAGATTATGAGTATGCTGTAGACACAATATATCTTTACCTCAGTAAAGATTTGACAGAGTTGTGATTGGCAACCTGATTGAGTATGGGCTGGGTAGTATGACAATTAAGACTTAGCTGCCTTGAGAATGGTACTCAAAAACTGCTCATCCAAGCTTCCTTATGAGACTAAGTGAAACTTCAGATAAGGTTCCACAAGGTTCAGTGCTGGGCCTGTGGTCTTCAGCCTTTTTTTTTTTTTTAATTACTTATATGGGTGGCTGGAGGAAATACTTACCAGATCTGAACATGGCGCAAAATTGGGTGAAATAGCTAATACCCTAGAAGACAGTGGTAAAATTCAAACCTATCTTGATAGGTTAAAGAAGTAGGCTGAAAGAACAACATGAAATCTAACAATTTGGTTATTCTTAATAAAAGTATTGCCTACAATAAATACTGACTTTCATTAGCCCTACAACTTGAGATGAAAAGCATTCATAATTAAATTAATTTTATTAAGTTACAATGGTGGTTATGCATTCAGCCTTATCTAATCCATTTTTTAAGAATTTCATTATTAGTATTTTTAGTACAATTTCCTGCTCCATGCAGGGATCCAAATTAAATGATTCACAATAAATGGAAGAATAGCCTCTCTGGGAATTTTTTCCACTATTGAACTGCTCTTAATGTTTTGATTTTTTTCCTTAATATTCAACTGGAATAGGTTTCATAAAACTTAAATATATTGTTCTATGTCTTGACTTCTTAGTCGACACAGAACATATTGTTCTTTGTGATATCCTTTTAGGCATTTAAAGAAGGGTTATCATAATTCATTCAACCACCAGTTCTGTTCTCAAGGCTAAATGTTCTTAGATCTTTTAATTTCTCTCCATAAGATTTATTTTCAAGTCTTCTAATCATCCACATTGTTCTAGTTTGCCTAAATCCTTCTTAAAGCACTCTATGTGGAGCTATCCTTGAAAAGTATTTGGAAGCTACAGCTGGTGCAGAATGTGGCAGCACGGGCAGTTATGAGCGCCTCTAGGACTGCACATGTAACACTTCTGCTGTACAAGCTGCATTGGGTGCCGGTCTGCTTCCAGGTCCAATTCAAGGTGTTGGTTATGACCTTTAAAGCCCTTCATGGCATGAGCCCAGGTTACCTGAGGAACCATCTTGTCCCCATTACATCAACCTGTCCCACCTGGTCCAGCAGGAAGGGTATGTTACGTACCCCGGTGCCTAGAGAGTTTTGACTGGTGGAGTCCAGGAACAGAGCCTTTTCTGCTGTGGCTTCTGCCCTCTGGAATATCTTGCCCCCTGAGGTGAGATTGGTCCCCACTCTGTTGGCCTTCTGAAAAAGTGTTAAGACCTGGCTCTGCCAACTTGCATGGGGACCCAATGGGGGTTCACAGCACTGGGTGTGTGGCTGATAGCCTCAGGATGCTCTCTTTACCTTTTTAGTTTGCACTGTAGTTTTAACTTTTTAGTTTAATTTTAACCTTTTGTATTTCTTATATATTTTTTCTAGGATTTTATAGTTTTTATGTGTAACACCATCTAGAGTCACTTGTATAGTGAGATGGGCAGCATATATACAGTTGAAAAATAAATAAATAAATAAAATAAAGATTGGTGGTCACAGCTGGACAAAATACTTAACGTGAAGTCTGACCACTGAAAAATAAAGCAGGATTTGGAAACTATACTTTTTAAAATTCGGCTGAAAATTGCATTTGTGTATTTTATATCCGCAATACCTTGTTAACCTATGATCAGCTAATAATCAATTACTTTTCCAAGATCTTTTTCACAAGTACAATTGCCAAGCCAGGTATCCCCTATGGTGTATCTGTGCATTTAATTTCTGTTTCCTAAATGAAGATCTTTGCATTTGTTTCTGTTAAATATAATTTTGTTTTTCAGCCTACATACCTACTAAAAATAACAGTTTTTAAACCCACATTGGTGGATAATTAATATCACTTTCACTCCATTATATAATTAAGGTTAACAAATATGCCCAGTGATATTCTTAAAATGAGGAAATTGAAACCATCATCATCATCATCATATGAAAGTAGTAACTTTAATAGAGAAATCTTAGATATTTGTTTCTTCTTTAAAATTAAATTGTTAATCTGTTTAAAATATTTAACTGGAACCAACTAAAATGGCATATAAATCTTGATGCAAAATTCATTTACATGACATTAATTATTTTCTACAGAGGTAGTTTCAACCACGTCTTAATATCCTCTTTATCTGGATAATACATAAAGAAATATTCTTGTCCACTAAACATTGTATTTTCCTAGAGATAATGATCTCCATGTATTCAATAAATTCTGGATGATAGACAAAGCTTATTTTTTTATCTACATCCAGGTTTTTAACATGAAATTAAGGAAGATAAAAGAATCCTTGATATGTGCCACTTTGCAATTTAAGTAACAGTGAGATAATCCCATTAGTAATTACTAGAGCGGAGGGACTAGAATAATAAACTATTATCTATGAAATAATTTATGTAGGAAGTCTAAACTTCTGCATTACTTGAACTAAAACCATAATTTGCAGTATATCAAATTATATCTTTTTCTGTATCCAACAAAGCTAAAAGTGCTGATTCATGTTTTCTAACATACAAAACTAGCATGTAAATCATCAATTTAATTTTATCTGGGGCATGATGTCATTTATAAAACCAGATTATACAGGATCATTTATTGTAGATAAATAAACTTCTTGCAATGCATCTGTTAAAATCTTAACAGCAACATTTAACAAAGACACCAAGCAATAATGTACAGTGGATAGGGTCTTTATCAGCTTTCAAAATTTCAGTTATATAAGCTTCATAATAAGAAGATGACAGGGCCTTCGCCTCTCCAAAACAAAACAAAACAAAACAAAACAAAACAAAACAAAACAAAACCCCTAATATATCTCCAAAAGTATGGAGACTCCTTTCTTATACCACTCCGTAGATTCTCCATCTGGCCCAGGGGCCTTTGTAGATGCTGTTATGTCAATAGTATCATAGATTTTCTGTAATGTTGTAGATGCAACTAAATTCTCTGACTATACAGTCGAGATTTGTGGAAGATTTATTGCATTTAAAAAAAGCATCATCTGCTTGTTGCCTATAACTCCATTTGCAGAAATATAAAACTTTATAAAACTTAAAAACTGAAAATTAGTTTCATTATAATTTCTGTGAATTATCCAATTGAATCCCTTTAATAGACATTATCTTACCTTTTTTCAGATGTTTTAGGTGAGAGACTGATAACTCCCTGTTCCAATACGTTTGTTTCATTGGTTTTATGAAATATTCCATTTCAATGCATATAATTGATCTGGCTATAACTTAAGGAAACTAAAACATAATATGCATTCCGAGTTTGATTTGTAGAATACACTTTCAGTGCTTCTTTTAATTCCAGTTCTAATATTCTATGCTGCAATGCACACATCTTTTTCCTCCAGGAGGTATAGGCTAATCTTGCCATAAATGTATGCTTATCCCAATCTGCCTTCTCTATTTATTTGAGGAAAAAAGGGGGGGGAAACCCACTTTATTTATTTATTTATTTTTATTTATATACACACACACACACACACATACACATACACATACACATACACACACATACACACACACACACACACCACTGATTGGGATTCTACTTTTCAAAACCAATGATAATCCTACTGGTGTGTGATCAAAAATAAGCTTGTTTAATTTAGTTTGTTATGGTTTAAGATCAGAGTAACTTAAAATAATAAAATAGGCACATCAAAATTGAAACATGACTAAAATAATATATCAGAACACATATAAAAATTATGTTAACATAAAATAATACTTGCACTTAAGATATTTGAAGCAGTTGTTTACATTCCAACATAGCCAGTGTATAGAAGCTGGCTGTATTACCTGAGATTGCTACCTCTGATCACCTGGTAGGAGACTGAGAGAGTCATTGTCAATTCTGCCTAAATATTGAGTTGTGATGGGACACACACACACGCATATACATATGCACACATACATACATACACATATCCTGAATTTCTCTATAAAAGAGGCAGTGCAACACTGCATGATCTATAGTTTTGATTTTCCCTTTACCAGAAGGGCAGAGATGCTATTCTTTAGGAATGTGCAAGATCTGTCCTGTGAAAGAGCAGACAGCAGAGCTCTTACAGTAGACCAGTGTAAAAGCTCTTCTTATAAAATTAAAATTAATGTAAGCGAATAGCTAATACATGCTATTTGTGCTTGAGTTTCAATGAATGCTATTCCAGTCTCAGCTGAAAGGACTGAGTTTGGGATGCATTGTGGAACCAGGAATACATCCCTTTGAAAACCCAACTGAACAGCTTCCAAGAACTTCTGACTCTGGGTAGCTTACATTAAAGATTAAAAAAAAAAGTGTACACAGAAAAAGAAGAATCATGGATGCTCCCAGAAATAACCTAAAGCCAAAAAAACCCCACAACAACAGGGGCTCAATCTTCACTCTGCTCCAGAACCAGGGAAAATAACCAGGTCTTTAATAGCTTCCTGAACATCATCAGGGTAGGAGTCATCCAGATCTGTGGGGGGAATATCATTCCAGAGGGCAGGCTCTGTAACAGACAAGATATGCTTCCTGGTGTCCACAAGATGATACTGCTTAAGCGATGGGAGCTGGAGTGTGCCCTCTCTGCCTGATTGCACTGACTGGATCATGAAAATAGCCAGGGAGGTGATTTGTGGTTGGTTCTATGCTGTGGTGTCTGCCTCCTTAAAGGAGGGGGGTAATGCCTCCAGCCTTAAAGGAAGCTGAAGTGTATCTCCTCAAGAGACTGTTCTTGG